GTAATATGACGACGTAAAATTAACCAGCAAACACATTAAATTTACGAATTCATCGTATATTTACATAGCAATTCCTTTTCTTTCTTAATACTGTACAATACTTAACGGTTTAGGTAGGTAAATTTACACCAACTTATAGTGTAAATTTCGAGCTGTGACGTTAAAACACAATGGCGATTTTAACCTGTAGAAAAACGATATGATACCGGTAATTTAGTCTACAACAAATCAACAACATCGTATTCTTATTATACAAGATACCGTTAAAATACAATTTTACTGTAGTTACGTTATTTTTACAGTAAATTGGATTTCAGTAAACGTAAAATAACAGACATTTTTTTACTGATAGTAGGATTATAACGGCGAACGGTCAAATTACTGAAAAATGTTAATTTTACCCGCGAAGATGAACCGTTATTTAACATCGCGAAGTGTGAGTTCACAGTCTCATCATTGTTATACAAAAATACCGTTAAAATTCATAGTACTTGTTAAACCAATATTTTGTACTGTAAAATTACGCCAGTTTATAAATGAACATTACGAACTCCAACGTTATTTAACGTAAATATTGATTTTGAACTGTTAAGTTACGGAAAACAGTAATATGAAGACGTAAAATTAACCAGCAAACACACTAAATTTACGAATTCATCGTATATTTACATAGCAATTCCTTTTCTTTATTACTACAATACTTAACGGTTAAGGTAGGTAAATTTATACCAATTTATAGTTTAAATTTCGAGCTCTGACGTTAAAACACAATGGCGATTTTAACCTGTAGAAAAACGATATGATAGGGCCTACCGATAATTTAGGCTACAACAAATCAACAACATCGTATTTTTATTATACAAGATACCGTTAAAATACAATTTTACGGTAGTTAACGTTATTTTCACAGTAAATTGGATTTCAGTAAACGTAAAATAACAGACACTTTTTTACTGATAGTAGGATTACAACGGCGAACGTAAAAATGTTAATTTTACCCGGGAAGATGAACCGTTATTTAACATGGCGAAGTGTGAGTTCACAGTCTTATCATTATTATACAAAAATACCGTTAAAATTCATAGTACTTGTTAAAACAATATTTTGTACTGTAAAATTACGCCAGTTTATAAATGAACATTACGAACTCCAACGTTAATTAGCGTAAATGTTGATTTTGACCTGTTAAATTACGGAAAACAGTAATATGACGACGTAATTTAACCGCCAAACACATTGAATTTACGAATTCACCGTATATTTACATAAAAATTCCGTCGAAATACACGGACGAGTTTTAACCTGTAGAAAAACGATATGATACCGGAAATTTACAACAAAACACCAATCTATCGTATTATTATATAAAAAATACCGTAAAAATACAATCACACGGTAGTGACCCTTATTTTTACAGTAAATTTAATTACGGTAAACGTAAAATTACTGACATTTTTTACAGTGTAGTTCAGTGTGAAGGCATCAATACTGGTGTACCACATGTTTCCCGGCTTGATCTATCATTTTATAATATTATTATAGGCCTATTAGTATATTGTTATTGTTTATTTATTTATTTATTATTATTAATTTTATTATTATTATTATTATTATTATTATTATTATTATTATTATTATGGAAATAAACTTCAACGATGAGTGACGAAATGGGATGAATATTACCAATGTCACTTGATACGAAATCCACCAATCAAATGACACTATTTAGGCGTGTTATAATACACTAATAGCAAATAAATATAAGGCTGGTTCGATCATGTATTTTTAATGGAGTATTGGTGTAGATTATTAATGGTTATTTAAGGGAAACATTTTTGGTGCCGTTCTAAAAAATGTCGTTTTTGTCAATATCTATATGTTCCTTAGGAATATTTTGTAGCAGACTTAGAACTGCGACTCTAGAAAAACCCAAGAATTGGCAAAATTCTGACTGTATGATGCCTGGTGAAACTATGCTTGCTGCCAGAGCAAGAAGTTCAATCCAATGTTCCTTGGTGTGTCTACGGCATTTCCCGGAGTGTAACTCTATCAGATACGACAAGGTGTCAAAATCGTGTGAACTATTAACAAGTATGATGCTACCCAAACGAGAAGACAAAAATTGTATGACATATGGTATAAATCTATCCGTAAGTGAAATATCGAACAAAGTTGTTTAATCAATCTAACCACATCAATATAATAGGTCCATATAAACATCAATATAATACATTTATAATCTAATAGTGTTTGATTGAACTTCAGCACGATTGCACTGAAATTCTGAAGACGTCCCCGAGTTCTCAAAGTGGAGTTTATGCAATTACCAATAACAACGGAACCAAAACATGGCCTGTTTACTGTGACATGGACACCGACGGTGGAGGATGGACAGTAAGCAACCTGTTTTATTGCTTTGTCAGGAAAATATTACATTAAAATATTTGGCCAAACATAATCTCAACATTCTAAGGTACATTTACATACATCAATTCTGTAGTGTCTGCATGCGCTGAAGTAACATACATTCATACTGTAGGGTCTACATGAATTTGAATAATATTGAATAATTGTATGGCCTTTATTGTAGCCGAAATTTACACATTTAAATTAATTCAATTTTATAACAGCTAAAATATTTTAGGTTTTCCAGAAACGTCAGTTTAATGAGACGGATTTCGATAGACCGTGGCTAGATTACAAAAATGGTTTCGGCGCTATGTGTGATTTCTGGCTTGGCAACGATCTTGTTCATCAGATTACTTCATCTGGAGAGTACAACCTTCGACTTGATATCATTACGACAACTGGTGATGTTTACTTTGCAACATACACATCGTTTACCGTCAACGGAGAGAGCGACAAATACAGATTGAAGTTTTTAGAACTAACAGACGGCAATGCTGGTAAGCATCATCTTACAAATAAATATACCCTGAAAAACGGTATCATTTATATCAAACCTCATTAAAACATTTCTTACCACCCGTGTACTTGAGCCCCAGAAAATCCGTCATCAGTTGTCTTTGGTCAAGACCTACAGGTGACTTAAATAGATGTTGGTTGGTCAGATCCTCGTCAGACCATGAGTGAACTTTAGTGTTTCTACCAAAGACGTCGTCTAAGTTTTTTTCGATCGTTAAGATTGTATCTAAAATTACGTCCCTTTTTAATCGTAATACTGTGAAAATTCCTGTTTACTTTTTAAATTATGTCTTACAGTACAGTTTGCCTAGTATATATAAACTAATAATTTACACAATTGCTCATAATAAATTATATTCAGAATTGTTCAACCAACAAAATTAATTACTAATTTTTTAATACACCTTACATTACCTTAGTTCGTCCCACCCCGATAAACCGGTGCCAGTTACTCTTGTATGTCCACAACAGTTGTAGACATACAAGAGTAGGTCTAACTGGCCCTCTACCGGGGTGGAGCTCAGGGAGGGAGAAGAAAGAAGCTATTGTGTAAGCATGTTCTTCGAGCGCTTTGAGAGTTCGGTATAAAGTGCTGTATTTAATATAAATACTTACATTCAACCAAGTCGATCCGTGGTTGAAAGGGGGGGGGGGGCGTATTGCAAAATAATCCGGGCCGTAGGCAGCCTAAGGACGCTGGCAGGGTCGAGGGTCGGGCCCCGGAAGCTCTGGGGTCTATATCCTGTCGTATCTAATTGATAATACAATTAAAATGTATTTCCACACTACAATTTCAAAATACAGTGGTGGATCCAGGAATTCGAAATAGAGAGGGGGCCTGGGAGGACTTTCACAGATGTAGACCAGCTCAGACCCACCATGGTTGAGGCTGAGGTAAGAACTTTTATGATTATGGCACCGCTAGTTGGCCCGAAAAGGTATTCTCAGCCTTAAATTTGAATATTTAATTTTCTTTTTTCTTATTTAAAATAAAAACAAATAATGGAAGGTGGGCCGGTTGGGCCCCCTTGAATCTGCCACTGAAGTTTTTCAATTTATCTTGGTAATCATAATTATGCCCACATACATATTTCCTGCAAACTAACATTCATAAAAATGATTTATTATCAATTGATTAGCTTAAAAACACGAATAAAAAAACAAATAAGATAAACTTAAAACAGTCACTCTAATTAAATATGTAACTTGCATACAGGGGCGGATCTAGAAATGTTCTGACAGGGGACCCAATGTAGTCCACACCCATCTCAGCCCCACAATGGTTGGGGCTGAGGTGAGCAAATTATAAAAATAGACACCTCTAAATGGCCCAGTAAATGGCACTTTCAGAATGTAAAAAGATATGTTTTCAAAGCACCCAACAAAATGACATGCATCGAATCATATCAGCTCCCCCACTTAATCCTACATCCCATATCAGTCTCCCCCTCCCCATATCAGTACTCTACGCCATTAGATATAGTGAGCTACTGTTAAAAAGCCGAAGTAGATGGTCATGTTTCTATTAACAAAAAACTTTTTAATTTAAGTACTCAAAATAATCCGGAAAATGATTTATTTTTTAACAATGTTGTGCGGGAAGGATCATTAAGAATTGGCCCCTATAGGTGCTCGGAAATGGCACTCTGAATGGGAAAATGCTTTTTCAAAGCAGTGTTCCTCGAAAAAATTATTGCCTTCTTCCCGACGGGAGCTATGCTCCCTCTCTTATAGAACCCCTCCACTCACGGGCGTAGCAAAGGTCTAATCAAGGACCTTTTATTCTACTTGGAGTTCCAAAGCAGATTATAATCAAGACACCTCAAGATGCCCGGAAATTGCACTTATTCAGATTTTTGAATATTTTCTCCATGGTATGGTGTGTGGTGTTTTGTTTTTTGTTTTTTGTTTGTTTTTTGTTTTTTTTATAATTTTGACAAATTTTGGCAAATATAAAAGCACAGGAGTTACAAAGACAACAACACCAAAAACAATAACTTAAAAAAACATAAAATTGACATCTTCAGCACTTCTTTTACTTTGATAGGCAAACTGTAATGGGTCCAAAAAAAGCTTAGTTTCGTTAAGTAACAATCGAAGTACAATTTTCTATTTGACAACATTAGATGTTATTGCAATTGGTCTGCAATCATTAAGCTCTTTTGGGTTTTTAGTCTTTGGGAGTGGGGAAATAATAGATGTCTTCCATAACTTGGGCACAATGCCATTTACTAGACCCTGATTGAATAATAAGGTATAAATGTGGGCTAACTCCTGACTGCAGTTTTTTAATACACGGTTACATATTCCATCAGGGCCAGTACTTTTACCAATTTTTACCTTAGAAAAAACATTCCGTACAACACTCTCATTTATTTTTACAGGGTTTTCTGAAGCAGATTCATTTTCATTTAAATTAGAGACTACATTTTCTGTCACAGATATTTCATTATCGAAGCGGCCACAGAAGTTATTAAGATCATTGGCCAAGTCAATATTGCCATGAGTTTTTTGACTTGTTTCTTTATAACCGGTTAGCGTTTTAATTGCGTTCCAGGCAGCTTTAGGGTTGTTATCTTTGAATTTGTTTTCTAAACTTTGTTTGTATTTCATTTTATTAGTTTTAATACATTTGTTAATTTCTTTTTGTAATTCTTTGACTTTGTATGCATCTTTTCCTCTGTGGGCTTTGCGCTTATTTTGAAGAAGAGTCCTGAGTCCACCCCCACCCCAAAAAGGTTAGATTCTAATGAAAAATCATACTTCTGGTTTATAGACCTAGATATTTCTATCATAAAAAAGCGGAAAAGTAAATTATTTGTTTGCAAACAGTGATAAAAATAAATACATAAAACAGTTATTAGAAATTAGGCGTCCAAAGTAAAGCACCACACACCTGGATACAGTACAGTGGAAGGCTTTCTCATAAAAAAAGAAAAAGATCCGTCAAGAATGTATACGAGCATTAACAACATGCAAGAAGCTGAACATGTATATTTGAAACAAGTACTATCATCTGAGTGCACGTCAATATTGTTTGATGTAGGGCTATATAACAATACCAATATGATTGACAGGAATAATAGGCCTTTGCTTTACCTATAATTAACTTTTACAATAAGAATAATTGTTTTAATACCTCAGGTAATGTACTCAGAGTTGAACAAGATGAACATTTCTCAACCTACGATAGTGACAATGATGACAATGATGGCAGTTGCGCTAAATCCAGTACTGGTGGTTGGTGGTTTTCGACATGCCATAGATGCCTCTTGAATGGCGCGGGAATTATCTACTTTAACTGCCACATTAATGGTGTGAAGCAGCTGTTGAGTAGCTCGGAGATGAAGATTAAGCGGCAGTGTTAGTCGATTTCTCTCTCCGAGGAAACTTAAAAACTTAATAATGGTAATGGTTGGAGACTTA